ACCACCTCTGTTAGGGACTACTAATGGAGATGGAAATGATCAAGTTTTTATCTTGATTGTGTTGTCCCTGCCATAGAGAGTGAGGGGGTATGGGATGGAGTGCTTATAGGTTTTTAAGTTATGGCTTTTTAAATGTTGTAAACTCTTGATGTCATCTAGGTGTGATGTGTGTGGCCATTTACATTTGTTTAATGTATAAATAATGCATAAATTTTAATCAGCCACATAGCTCATAGTTCAAGCCATCTTTTTATATCAGATTATGCAAGGAGCAAAGGAAAGCTCAGCCAACCTGGAGAATATACTTCTTATCAAAAGGGACACTTTATAAAAAATAATATAGGCTGCAAGCTGACCAATAAATAGACAATACAATCCTGCAAAAATATATGCAGAGCCTCAAATCTCCTGCAAGAAGAGATGGTGTGCTGTAGGTCCTGTCAGCTAAGGATCTACATTTAGATGGGTTCCAAGAGACATACTTTCACTGACTCTAGTGGAGCATTCTTCCCCCTGAAATTAGATATCTCCATCCCTTTTGATAAAGGGACATGGTGGCTCAGTGGTTAAAACACTGAGCTTGTCGATCAGAAAGGTCGGCAGTTTGGTGGTTCTAATCCCGAGCACCACATAATAGAGTGAGCTAACATTACTTGTCCCAGCTTCTGCCAACCTAGCAGTTCGAAAGCATGTAAAAATGCAAGTAGAAAAATAGGGACCACTTTGGTGGAAAGGTAATAGCGTTCCGTGCACCTTTGGTGTTTAGTCATGCCGGTCACATGACCACGGAGATGTCTTCGGACAGTGCTGGCTCTTCAGCTTTGTAACGGAGATGAGCACCGGCCCCTAGAGCCAGAAAGGACTAGCACGTATGTGCGAGGGGAACCTATCCCTTTTGATATTCCAGAAGTCTCTTGAGACATGTCTAGATGGCTCTGTTGCTGAGTTGGCTATTCTTATTCTCTCTTTGCGTAGAGTTTGTATATTTTGTTTTTGTAATATTTATCTTTTAATACCAATTCTTATATTTCATACTGATTGTTTTATATATGTGGATTGTTGTATGCCACCCAGAGTAAATTTTTATGAGATGGGCAGCCATACAAATCTGACAAAAACAGACTAACTAACTAATAAGCCAACATGCCAGGAGTTGCTCGAGAAATAACTAAATCAAATATTTTTCAAGGATTAAAGAGCCTTCTTGTTCAATAGGAATCTTGGAGTGGATTGAAAAGATCAGTTTTAAATGTGATTTAGTTATAAATATCATTTCCTAAGAGAACACTGTGCACAAAATAGCTTGTCTTATCATGGGAAGCAAGCAGTTGACCCAATTCAGAAATGAAAACCTGCACTAATTAACTGTTGATGAGAATTGGAGGTATCCTGTAGCATAGGCATATAAGCATAAGCAGGACATTGTGAGCCTTAGCCATAAAAGCCAGCTGGGTGACTTTGAATCATTCACTCTCTCTTAGCCCAGCTCACTTCAAAGTATGGTGGTTGTGGGGAAAAAAGGAGGAAGCTATGTTGGATATGCTTACCACCTTATTTGTAAAAATAATAAAGATGGCAATAAAAAGAAATAAATAAGCAAAAACAAAAGTCTATCCTCCCCTATGGCATTGCAACTTTTAACAAAACTATTTTTTTTCCTATGCTTTTCCAGTATAGCTCTGCAAATTTTTTAAAAAAATTCTCTAAGATTATATTTCTGTATCTTCTGGAAAGAGTTTTCTGTAAGAAAGTTGCCAGACGGAGAACAATGTTCAAAACTGAAAAACAAAACCTGCTTAATTTTTGATCAACTTATTGTGATACTGTCAACATAAATACCATTTGAATTCACTTGAGATTTAAAAGAAATGATCCTGGGATTGACGGAAAAGTAAAGATTTATAATATTGTGTTGAAATCCTGAAAGCCTCTTCAGAGATAAGTGAAGATCCATAAACGCACAATATTTCTGACTCCCCCATGAACAGAAGTCTCCATGTGACACTAAGCTGCTTTCTGAATTCTTGAGTGTCCACAGCATTTAACATTCTAGTAATAAAGTCTAGAAAAGCCTCATTGTATGAACTTGATAGTTTATTGTGGCTGACTTATCTTCAGAATGATAGACTTAGGCCTGTGATGGCAAACTTACGGCACGTGTGCCAGAAGTGTCTTGCAGAGGCATCTCTCTGGGCACGCCAGCTGTCGTCCGTTGCTGTTCTGGGTTCCGTCAGCTAGTCTTCGTGTGTGCAAGAGTACTGGAAACCAAAGAGCAGCTCCCCAGCGCACGCTCTTCCAGTTTCTGGTGCTCCCCTGCCCACGTGCATGCTCCAGTTTTGGCATTTGGTGCTGAAAAGGTTTGCCAACACTGACTTAGGCTGTATCTACCTAAGTTTCTATATTTTCTTTGAACACATCTGAAAAACTGAAACATTTTGAAGTTCTCAAAGAAATAGAATCTTCTCAGGTTTTGAATCTAGGCACATTGTGGCTTCTTTAGAACATTGGGCATAGTGGAATTATTTATGATGCTATAATCTATCATTAATTGTTTGAACAGGGATGAAAAACAACAGAAATCAAATTTAAGGTAACCTAAAATTCATATTATGTTCATAAGGTGTACTCTTGTAGAATTCACTATATAGAGTGGCTAGAAAAGTTATTTTTTAAAAAATGGAACCTGTGCTTTGGCACTGGAGCCAATGGACTTCATTTTGCTATTTGGGTTGTTATCTGGGAATGGCTTACTGCTATTTCTAGTTTTAGGAAAGTCACTCATATATGCATTGAAATAAAAAAAACATTATTCTCTATCAAAGCATCTGATCTGTCTCCAAAATATTATATATTTAATTTGTGGTATCACTAGGTGAGCAAGATTTCTGATTAAATTCTGGACAGCCACTTCCAATTAATACAATCCATTGGTTCACTGATTATGCATCATTAGGTTGGTATCAAATGATCAGGTTCAAATTATTATTATTATTTATTTATTAAATGTAAATGATCGCATAGCTCTATAAAGCATGCAACAAGAGCCTCAAATGGGAACTTAGTATTGATTGGTTGTATGATGTATTTATTTGCTTTCTTGGTTATCCAAGGAGGAGGCAGTTATCCATCGGAGCCTTCTCCAATACCAATATCACTTCTTTATGTTATATTTGGGTCCACACTAGTATAGGACTTGGACTTCACTCTGCCTGAGTTTCTAATTTTACAATGCTACAATTGATTTCCATAATGGAAGAAAGGATGGAAAAAGTTATGCAGTTGGCAGAGATGGCAAAATTAACTGTTTTAATTAAAGAGAAGGTGTATCTAGCTTGTTTCTATTGGAAATCGCTTCTGTACTTTATGCTTGAAACGGGGGGGGGGGACTTTGATTTGAGATTTTGATGATTAGATTAGTTTGTTGCTAGACAAATGGTTAATATATACTCAATGTGTATGCAAAAAGTGGAAATTGTAACTATATTTTGTATTTTACTGCAACGAAAAAAATTGTAAGTGAATCTTTTTTTCCTTTCCCCTTTATCTTGCATTCCCTTCCCATTACTTTTCCCTCCCCTATTCCCTTACTAGCAGTTTCTACTTGTATTTTATATTATCACAAGCTTCAATTAAAAAAACAGTACTGTAGTGGGAAATCATACTAAGAATATTTTACAATTATGCTTGAAGAGGCTATGATATAATGGAGTTTGGACACTTAATGTATCTCTAGGGAGTGAAATTGTCTTTTTTTTTAAACTGCAAATTATTATTTACACAAAATAATGATAACTTCATGTTTCATGCTAAGCCAAACCAAAGCATGCTATAGTAGAACTTTGATGTGACTAACTACCGTATTTGCCGGCGTATAAGACGACTTTTTTGCCCCGAAAAACATGCCTCCAAGTGGGGGGGTCGTCTTATACGCCGGTATATCCACTGCCGGCTTTCGGAGGCTTGTTGGACGCAGCGAAGGCGCCTCTGGCTTCCTGGATCCCCTGCGTCGCTTCCGCTTCATCCCGCTCGCCTCGCTCCGCCCGAGGCTGCAGCCTTACTGCTCTTCCCATGGCCCCTGGCACTCTGCCCTGCCGCTGCAGCCCCGGGGATTTCTGGAGGGCGTTTCCGGTGGTGGTGGGGGGTCGTCTTATACGCCGGGTCGTCTTATACGCCGGCAAATACGGTAGCTCTTATACATTTAGTAAAGAGCATATTGTCATAGAGCAGGGGTGTCCAAACTCAATTTCATTGAAGGCCACATCAGAGTTGTGTTTGACCTTGAGAGGCCAGTGTGGGTATGGCCAGAGTGGGCATGGCTAGCTCAATGTCACTTGTGCTGGGGGCTCCTGTGGTGGCCCAAGTGCTGTGCCAGCAAAAACTGGCTCCCAAGCTCTGTTTTCGACTGTGATGGCCTCCTGCAACCCTCTGCCAGCGAAAACAGAGCTCCATTTTCGCTGGCAGAGACACTGTGGGCCGGTCCTTCGGTGTTTCCAGGGTGGCCCCATGGGCCAGACCTAAGCACCCCATGGGCGGAATTCCGGCCCATGGGCCTTGAGTTTGACACCCCTGTCATAGAGTAACTTACTCCCTATACTTGACAAAATTGCCTCCATACACTATATCAGGCATTCCAGAACCATAAATACATGATAGAGTTGCTACAGGTAATTAAATAGAAAGAAAAGTTGTTATTAAAAGAAAGCATGCTATTGCTGATGAGATCTACATCTGTTAGAAGCTCTTTCAAGGAAAATCCCAGGAAGAACCTTTGTGCATCCTCTTTTCCACATTCTGTATCCTTATTTTTGTTTGTCTGTTTGTTCCTATCATTACTTGCCCATAGATGTCCCTAATTTGCAGAGTTATTCAGTGCCAAAGAAAACATATCTATAAGGCACAATGTAGAAAAGAACAAATTAAGATATTCTAATGTTCCAAGGACTTTTCAAAACAATTAATGCAGCAAAATGAATGAAATAACAAAAATCCAATGTACTTACATCAGTGTCAGGTCCCTTGTCAGCTCCAGGACAAGAAAAAGTAACAAATTCATGGCACCTCTTGTGAACCACAAAACAGCAAACTAAAAAGAGAAGAAATATAAATTTCTTTAACCAAGTTAACCAGTCTACAGTCAGTTTACTTGCATGGAAATTAGTGTGACACAATAATGCCCTGTGAAATTCTATGACAAGCATTCAAATCATAGACCAATCTTCACCATCTACTTTTCTATTCATGTAACAGTTTACAAGACACTATTTCATTATCCCCAGGGGTGGGATCTGACAGGGTTAACTACCAGTTCGGTGATTTACAATGTGCTTCCCTGCACGCTGCGCATGCGTGTAAATCTTCGTCAGCTTGCTGCCTAGACAGCTGAGCAGCGCTGTGTGCAGGGAAGCAGCGTTTGAAAAAGCACTTTTTTCCTGCTTTTTCAACCGCAGCTGTGCTTTGCACAGCAGCTGAGGTTGAAAAAGCTAGAAATAAAGGTCAGGTAAGAGCCCGGGCAGGCGGGTGGGCCAAAACAGCATAGACATAGAACCGGTTCTATGTCTGCTGCTCTTCAGAGCTACCGGTTCTACAGAGCTGGGCAGAACCGGTAGAATCCCACCCCTGTTTATCCCATATGGGGATAATATACCAAACGCTCATGGATTCTATAGTTCTTACTAAGCTTCTTCAGGGGGTTCAACAGAAAGGATTATGAAACTTGCTACTCAACTAATCAGCAATCTTACATGATTGTGATATGATTAAGTGGAGTCCAAATGCGTCCTCATGCTCTTGGAACAGAGCTGGCAGAATGGACTTCTCCTCATGTGTTGTTTCCACAGCATCCCCCAAAACTCCTCTGATGTGGGTGGAAGTGTTTAGGAGAAAAAGCAGGCCACATTGGAATTCACCTTCTACTTTTTGCCTTTGGAATTTTAACTAGGCTACTGGCCGGCTCATCATTGAAGAACTAATTTAATAGCATAAAGGTAATCCTCGACCTTCACCACAATTGAACTTAATTTTTTTTTCTTTCTCAGCAAGACAATTGCTAAGTGAATTTTGCCCCACTTTACGTCCTTTCTTGCCATCGTTGTTAATCAAATCACTCCAACTGATAAGTTAGTAAAATGGTTGTTAAGTGGATCTGGCTTTCTTATTGACTTTGCTTGTCAGGAGGTCACAAGAACTGACCTCGGTACACTACAACTGTCATAAGTATCAGTCAGTTGCCAAGCATCTGAATTTTGATCACATAACCATGAGAATGTTGCAATGGTCCTAAGTGTGACAAACGATCATAAGACATTTTTTTCAGTTCCACTGTAACTTTGAACGGTTACTAAACAAATTGTAGTAAGTTGAGGATTACCTGTGAATCATTTCTATACTCAAGTACACAATTCACTGTGTACTGAAGTCAATACACAATTAAACATTACTATTGGAATTAATATATCAATATCAATATCTATCTATATCTATATATAATATAGATATAAAATAAGGAATATCATTCCAAGTGTGGCTGAAATCTCTTGGGTGACTAATTTGGACATCTCTCGCAGTTGCCATTTATATATTTTTCACTTAGACGTGATGTTGCATAAAATGAATATATTCTATTTTATTTCAGTATATGTAAGCATGGGCTGAGGCGTTTTGTTTTGCTTGAAAAAGTGAGATAATGTTTATTGTAGGACAACGTTTTTGATCGTAAGTGCAAAGCTAAGATGACAGAACAGATCAACATTTCATGATGAGTATACTATATGCATTGTTTTCTTTATTAATTTTTCTCATCGTTTGGTAAATTATCTCCACTTTATTTATCCCATGAGAATGCTTGCTTATGTGCTTGGTTTTTACTCTCTCCATAATAATGTCATTCCAGAAATAAACAACTGTAAATGAAAACAATAGCATTGTTCTCTCTAGTTCACATTCTAGCCTTAAACTCTTGAGATTCCTGAATAACAAGAATCTTGTTTCTGTTCCTACTCATTGTGGAATGAAGCATTATTCAGTGAGGAGAAAAATGATTTCCCACCCGCTCCAAGTCTAATGATTTTCTTGATTATGACACCCAACTCTATATTTCCACTCCTGGTGGACCCAAGTGATGCTATAGCCACCCTTTCGCGGTGCCTGGAGGCTCTAGTGGACAACAGGCTTTAACTGAACCCTGGTAGGACCAAATGGCTCCGGGAACTTTGTCATATTTAACTCTGGATGGGGTGGCACTGCCACAGAAAGACACCGTCTATGACTTGGGGGTTCTCCTGGATTGGAAACTCCTGTTCAAGGAACAGGTGGCTGTTGTGGCTAAGAGAGCCTTTGCACAACCAGTTGCCGCCTTTCCTGGATGCACCAGGATTCCCTGCGCTCAGTCGTTTAGTCCCTAGTCATCTCATGGCTGGACTACCGTAATGCGCTCTACATGGGGCTATCCTTGAAGAGCATTTGGAAGCTACAGCTGGTGCAGAGTGTGACAGCGTGGGTATTTGGGGGGGACCCAAGGGTGGCCCCTGTAACACCACTGATCCATGAGCTGCATTGGTTATCAGTCTGCTTCTGGGTGCAATTCAAGGTGTTGGTGATCACCTTTAAAGCCCTTCATGGCATGGATCTAGGTTACTTGAGGGACCCTCTCACCCACTGGGTTTGACCATGCCACTTGTGGTGGCAGAAGAAGCATGCTGTCGATCCCGTCAGTCTAATTATTCCAGCTGGCGGGGTCCAGGAAGAGAGATTTCTCTGCTGTTGCTCCTGCCCTCTGGACTATAGTTACTCTATGGTAAGATGGTTGGTAAACAAACAGTTTGGGAAAGAATTTCAGCAACTATGCTCTCCGGTTTTCTGTATTTCCTTTATTGGCAAAATATTTTTATATTTCTTTTTAAGAGGCCAGATTAACTATGAACTTTATAATAAGGGTGGGTTTTTAAAAAAAATGTCTTAAGCAAAATATACGCTATTAAAAAAATGGTTAAGCCATTAATTCTGACTTGCAAAGGGCAGGGAAACTTCTATTAACCATATAGATGTGTCTTTGTGGAGATTGTTTCTTGTTGCTGTAGTTTTGGTTGTTGTTATTCAGTGCCACCTGGAAAACCTTCTAAGCACCAATTCCACCCGTGCTTTTTACAATTTTGTAAACAACAAACTAAAAGACTCAAGGTCTATCCCACCCTTGATAGGACCTGATGGTAAAGACTGCAACGACGACACCACTAAAGCCAACATCTTTAACACATTCTTCAGCTCAGTATTTGTAAACAGCAATGGATCATGCCCAGTATTTCCTAGCCGTACCACAGATAACAACAATGATCTAATACATATCGATTTTACAGAAGACAATGTTGAAAAAGCACTACGCAATCTAAAACCATCTCTATCTATTGGACCTGATGGAATATGTGCCTACTTCTTAAAAAAGCTATCCACTGCCATAGCCAAACCTCTAAGCATAATCTTTGAAAAATCTTTCAGGACCAGCTCCTTGCCTAACCTATGGTCACAAGCCACAGTCATCCCCATCTTCAAAAAGGGAGACCCAAGCCTAGTTGAAAATTACAGACCAATCTCCTTATGCTGCGTCACCTGTAAAGTCATGGAATCAATTATTAACCAATCCATCATCCTCCACTTAGAGACAAACAACCTACTCTCCAATAAACAATTTGGTTTCAGAAAAAAACTATCCTGTAATCTGCAACTCTTACACTGCAAAAACATATGGACGACACAACTCGACCAGGGCAAAGCAATAGACGCAATCTACATAGACTTCTGTAAAGCCTTTGATTCAGTGGTACACGACAAACTACTCCTAAAAATAAAATCCTATGGTATCTCTGGACAACTGAATAACTGGATAGAAGCATTCCTGGCAAACAGACAACAAATGGTCAAAATTGGGAGCGTCCTATCAAATTCTGTACCTGTCAATAGTGGTGTCCCCCAAGGCAGTGTTCTAGGACCAACTCTCTTCATACTCTACATAAATGACCTCTGTGATCATATTAAGAGCAATTGCGTTCTTTTCGCTGATGATGTAAAGCTGTTCAATACCACAGACAATACTGCTACCCTACAAAAAGATCTTGACTATGTATCAGAATGGTCAAACAAATGGCAACTTCAAATCTCAACAAATAAATGCTCTGTCTTACATATTGGCAAAAAAAATCAGAAAATAAAATACAAGCTGAATAGTCAAGATCTTGTTGATGACCCAAGCTCTGTAAAGGACCTTGGAATACTCACCTCTAATGATCTAAGTGCTAGAGCCCACTGCAACTACATAGCCAAAAAGGCATTAAGAGTTGTTAACCTAATCCTACGTAGCTTTTTCTCTGGTAATATCACACTACTAACCAGAGCATACAAAACATTTGCTAGACCAATACTCGAATACAGTTCATCAGTCTGGAACCCACATTACGTATCTGATATTAGCACAATTGAGAAAGTCCAGAAATATTTCACAAGAAGAGTTCTCCACTCCTCTACTCGTTGTAGAATACCTTATGCCACCAGACTTGAAATTCTAGAACTAGAAAGCCTTGAATTACGCCGTCTTCGGTCTGATTTAAGTATGGTATATAAAATCATACATTGCAATGTCCTACCTGTCAATGAATACTTCAGCTTCAACCATAACAACACAAGAGCACACAATAGATACAAACTCAAAGTTAACTGCACCAAACTTGATTGCAGGAAATACGACTTCAGCAATAGAGTGGTCAATGTCTGGAATACTCTACTCGACTCTGTAGTTTCTTCCCCAAACCCCAAAAACTTTAACCTTAGACTGTCTACTATTGACCTCACCCCTTTCCTAAGAGGTCTGTAGGGGGCGTGCATAAGTGCACCAACGTGCCTACCGTCCCTGTCCTATTGTTTCTCTTATTCTTCTTTTATTTTTCTTATATGTACCCATTTCATGTATTCACAACTATGTATACACTTATACTTATTATCTTGTAAACAATTGGCAAATCAAATAAATAAATAAATAAATAAATAAATAAATAAATAAATAAATAAATAAATAAATAAATAAATAAATAAATAAAT